GTTTAACCGCTACAAAATGCTCATACTTTAGACTTACGCTTACCAGTGGGAGATAAATGTTTTGCAGTGTCAGAGGTTTGGCCCACACTCTGCTACTGCCATATAAATAACAAATTCTTATTCTAAATTCCCTATAGAAGCAGCCGTTCTCTGCTCTGATATGTGGAAATGCTTGCAGCTCTGAGATATGCTCTGTACTCGCCGACTCCATGTCTCTGTATGAGTCCACAGGCTTTTTTGTCAGGTAATGCTGATGAGCAGAACATGGAAATCACATTAAACCCTGCATGAATCATCATCCGTGTGCATGGGAGGCTCGGTAGGGGAGCATTAAAACCTCCTCATGGAAGCGTAACTTTGATCAAGAGCGTCCGGCAACGCAGTAAAGCCATAAGCTGCTGTATCTGCCATGCTCAGATGGGTCAGGGACAAGTTGTCTTGAGTTTTACCAAGCACTTCAAAAGCTCCAGCTATTCATAAATGTTTCATCCTGTGTTAAGTCAGTGTTTACAATCTGCTCAGAGGAGCATTTTGACGTCAGTAGATTGTGAGAAGTGAGGCTGAGATAAGCTTTTTTTTTTTTTTTTTTTTTTTTTTTTTTTTTTTTACACCTGAGGGCTATCACAGTCACAGTGTGGCTCATTTGACTGGCTTGGATTTTTATTTTCATGAGAGTGAATGAACACAATGTCTTTTGAGACTCTAATATGAAATCTTCATTGCTTCATGTTTAATATTTTATGACTTTATAGTCTTCACCTAAAGTAGACGGCTGCTACAGCTCCCTATCTGGCGCAGAAATGTTTCCCCCGAGTGTCCCTTCTGTTGTAAATGAACTACATTGTTGTAAATGTAAATTAATTTAATGTCCTCACATTTGTCAGGCTGAAAAGGGGGCTGACAGGTGCCATAAGAAGCTTAACAGCAAGGTAAATCTGCTCAGTGACAAAGCTTAGCTAGCCTGGGTGCTATTGTAAATGTTTAATCCACTCACCTACATGCTTACATATTTTGTATACAGGGAGTGTTCGACATGCTCGAACCACAGAGTGCCAAAGTGATAATATGTCATGGAGAGGCTGTCGTCCCAAACTGTTTGAAATGAAATTTCATTTAAAAACAAAGAATTGTATATTTACTCAGAATGTTTTGTGAACGTTTACTCAAAGTACCCTTTAAACGAGTTGCTGCTGACATTTATTTTTCCTTTTCGGTCACACTTAAATATTTTAAATCGGCAAATGTCAATATCAGAATGAGTACTCTGAGTAAAATCAAAAAGCAATTTTCAAATGATGTTTCCGTCATAAAGCTGGTCAAACAATCCTGGCCCTGTATGTAAAAATAAATAAATAAATAAATAAATAAATAAATAAATAAAGAAAGAATTACCCTTCCTGTTAAATACTGCAATAACATATATTTTTTGGAGAGTTGAGTTCATTTTCACTTGTCACACCCAGGTCTCACTACTTCCTGACTTGCAGAAAGAAATAACCTGAACTGGGGGCTAAAAGACCTCAAAGGGAAACACATTATGCTCTAAATCTGCAGCGTCAGTCTGTTAAGTGGTTACACAGGCCTTGCAAAAGCTCTGGGACTCCTCCAAGTCACCGTGCGAACAATAATTCACAAATAGACTAAAGAAAAAGCAGCTCAGAATTTTTTAAGTGTGACCCACGTACAAACATTATTCCAAGAGTGCATCGACAACTCATCTAGCACAGCATCTTAAGCTCTGCAGGCCTCACCTTTCACAGTCAAGGTCAGAGTCCCCAAATCAGCAGGAAGGCAAAAAGGCATCCGTCAAAGAGGCTCAAAGCTGAAACCACTGCTGAACCAGAGCTACCCCAATATTTATATCATTAGGCTCTGGGGTTGCATTTTATTCAAGGTAGCTGATCTTCAAAATGGTTTGAAAAGCTGAAATGTTTATGTATTACACAAAAACAGAAAACAGAACAAACCTGCATGGGGGCAAATACATTTTGTAGCTCAGCAGACTAATGGAGTTTTTGCATGATGCTGCACTAAAATTTAAATATGGCAGCTGTTAATGACATAGGTAGTCCTGTTATGGTTCTCCATCTGTGTGAATCTGGTCAAATCTGGTCTTTTGTGCACATTTTTATACATTTAATTTTTGTACAGTTAATCTAACTTTAAAGAGTTTGTTTTTCTCTATAATAATATAACTAATAATCTTTTGGACCAGGCTCTTGGTAGTATTTCACTGAGAGTTGTGGTGTCAACTTGCCAGAGTCTGAGCACAACTTTCTTTTGCTAATGGAGCTGAAGAACAATCTACTGAAGCAAACACGGAAAGGTGACTCAAATAAGGCAACAGCGAGACAGGCACTTGAGTAGAAAATATAAGACAGAGCAGGGGGTGGACTCAAGCTGATGTGTTTGTTTTCCATTGCAGGTTTCCAGTAGAAATGTAGGCAAACACATTTTAAGTCTCCAATGCAAAAGAACATACATGCTGTCACCTTGCATATAATTCTGAGCAGAAAAGGCACCCTGTCACATGTTGTCTCTTTATTTTTGCTGCATTTTTTATTTTTATTTTTTTATTAGATCTGAAAAGGCCGCAGGTCGGTATCTGAAGTAATAACTCAGGGCAGGTACGGAAACTGGTGAATCATGCGGAATAACGACGTCTTTACCCGTTTGACAAACAATATCATGGTCTCTATCCCTCTTTTGAAATTATTCCTGTAAACATTCAGGGATGACATCAAGTCGTTTTTGTAGGTGGAAGACTGAGGCAGCTGTCAAAGACAGAAGTAAGGCTGTTTTATTTAAAATTATCCACCACAAAGTGGACAGCTTAAAATGATCCAGCTTGCGGAGCTTTTTGGCATGATTCATTACAGGACAAATAAAAGCTGACTTGTGTTAATTGGTGATGCATTGGAACATATACCACCCCTCGTTAACCTTTCATCATGTGTGTTTGTGCAGTGAAAGCTCAAAGCAAAGTGCGTCAAGGGCTTTCCATTTTAATTAGCAACTATTTGATAGTGCTGGATTAAAATCATTTGGAGGGTATCATGTTAAGTGTAAATTTATGGGTCAAGAGTAGGCGAAAGGCTCAATTTAATACTTACATATAAAAAAAAAAGACTTAATTCGACAGCAAATTTGGGATTGAAACTACAACCAAAGGAGGCTTTTTCAGGTTAAGTAATTAGGTTTCTGTTTGAAAAATTAGACTCAAGGGAATCTTAAAAATGAAATATAACTCTTATTTTATCTGTAATATTTAACCGAATCGGTGAGGTTTTGTGGATGATTGTGTTAAAAACTAAATGAGAATAAAAGAAGAACAAGATTTGAGACGGATGACTTGCATGTATTTACAAATGGCGTAAAGCAAATTAAGGATTTCTTATCAGCAAAGCTTATGACTCCAAAACAAGAGTCACAAAACTCAGCTTTAAATGGAAAACAAAAAAGCCACACCCTTGGAATCTATATAATTTGTGGATGTGCTCTGTGGGGGGGGGGGAATGATGGATATGCTCATCTGGCATAATATTATGACCACTGAACACGTTAAGTGAAAAACACTTTGCAAATTGTTAGGTGGGATATTTTAGGCAGCAAATCTACATTTTATTGGTTTAGTGATGTTGACTTGACAAGTCAACATCCAAATAAACGTTGGGTTGTACCGAACAAACAAGTCCAATCCATAGAGCTCCCACCTTGGAACCAGTTGGACTTTAAGGATCTGCCACTAACATCTTCATCAGTGTCATGGATTCCTTGTCTCAAGGCATATTAGGCATAGTAGGCATAATGTTACACCTGATCAGTGTCTATTAAACCTGATACTTTTAGAAAAAGCTTTACATATCTGCTTATTTTCCATACCAGCTTTCAGTGGTTAATTTTTTTTTTTTTTTTTACTCAATTGGAAGAAATGAGATTTCAATGAAGAGGCGATCAAAACAAAATCACCCGTAAGGCCTAACTTTAGCAAAGTGAAGCCAAGGAGATGGGTAGAAATCAATAAAGGCATGTGTCATAAATTATTAATATCCTTGAGAACACGTATGGATGGCGGTGTCATGCTGTAATTGGCACGGCACTTAGTTCAAACTGAGTCCGACTTCGTGTTGAGTGATGTAAGCTGTCGGCACCTGCCTAGAAAAATGCTAAAGCTATTTACAAGGGCAGAGTGATAAATGTGTGACTTCGGTTTAAGTTGACCCAAGTCTGGATGATGGGGCACCGCTGAGGGAAACGATCGGTTCACTGGTGGAAGAGGTTTTAATGCACATAAACCCAGTTAACCTTTAACTGGTGGTACAAGAACAAAACAGTAAAAGCACATGAGCTGCTATAAAGGCCCACTTTCAAGGCATTCAATTATGAAGTCAAATTTATTTTAAATTATGTTTGATACAGCATTCTTATAACCGAAGGTGACACAGTTACTTGCCTGTGCTGTAAAATGACTCGATGTGCCTGGAAATTACATGAAACTGCCCCTTTAATTAAACTCTATCAAAATTTTGTTGGTCTATCATGTCGCAAGAAATAACTTTTTATTTATTTATTTCTTGATGGTGAAATATGAATTTGGATTATGTGAAGGTCATTTGAGCCCAAATCTTTTTTTTTTTATTATTATTTTTTTTTATCAGATGCAAAACAAAGATTGATGTGTTTTCGACTTGGATAGACACCCGGTATCAATGGTTTATGATTTACATTTCCTGCAAGTTCAGGCCTTTGCGATTTGAGACAGCTTGCAGAAACACGTTCAAAACATGAAGCATTTATAGCTAAAAAATAAATAAATAAATAAATACAAACCTGCAAATACTGCCTGAGGTAAACATATAATCACTATTTGAACTGCAGAGATTTGCAAGGCTAAAAGAAGCCTTCCCATTCTTTCTTTCTAAATAAAAAGATAAGGCGTCACAAAAATGTCAGTGCAGTGCCGTTTCTCATCCCCTGTGTCCTCCGTTGTCTTCCTGCAGGTAAAAGATTGAACGGATGAGGCGGAGGACGTCTTCCCCGGCACAAACGCACACAAATATTGTAGCATTCATCCGCGGGGGGAGGAGGACCTGCGACTCACTGTTGCCCAAAGGAGAAATTCAAGGTCAGTGAACAAAGTTTGTCTTTGTTTAAACAGACCGAGAAGGCTTCCCTCTTTCCGCTGGTTGTTTGTGTAAAGAATTGGGATGATAATATCTCAGTGGCAGCCCCCATCACGTACAAGAACAAATACAGGCGAATACGTTGCTTGCATTTACCTCTCAACTTTTATCTCTGCTCTTTTTCTCTATTTATCCTTTGTTCATTTCTTCCTTATTTTCTTAATATTTTCTGATCTGTTTTATTCCATTTTGTCCGTCTTGCTACCACTCTTTTTTTTTTCTAAACTTAGCTCAAGTAAAGACAAGAATAAAGCCTAAACTGTGCATCATGTGAAACTTTGTGAACATGAGATATACAAATAAGACCAGATCAGAAGAACTTGGGTAAAGTTAAAGTGTTACCTAAGGCTATTTTGGAAACTCTGAATGCAGATTTAATTTGTTCAAAAAGGCAATTTGTATCTTGAAAATCTGCATATGAAAACATTTTCCCTATTAAAAATATGCAAAATTAAAATTCGTGCCAATATGCCAAGGAAGTCCAGTTAAGGGCTGGCTCATTAAAAAGGCTTATGACCATAAAAGCAAACATTTTAATGACTCAGATTTGCAGTTTTAGCATCATAAAACCAAATTAATTACTGTTTTTCAGTTGATGAATTCAGATATTATGCACATTTTAGGTAATAGATTCAACATGCAGAACCTTGAAAATTTTAAATGAAATATGTCTTTTGAAAATAGTATCAGGTCTATCAATTTCTCTAAATTAATTCTGACATAATTCATGTCCCCCCAAATTAAACTCTTCAATTCAATCCTTGGTTTTTCAGCATGTACATCTTAGACTGTGATATTAGTACATAATTTTATTGTTCCATTCATATCTACTTTTTCATATTCTTAGTGTTTTTACTTAGTAAATATGACTAATTTGAGTTTCATCATCATTTTATCCTTTTCTACTTCTAGTTTACTGATTAAAGTCTTTAACTTTAAGGTTGAATTTTTTTCTCTTTATAAAAAAAAAAAATTATAGACTAGACAAATCTAGACTAGATTATACAACAGTGGTGAGATTTGTTCTTGTTTGATAGAAATATTGTTCAAATCTTACATTATTGTGCTAAACTCCATATCATGTTGCATTCCTCTGGTGATCTAAATGCATCGCTACTAGTAAACTAGGGTTTACTAGTCGTACAGTTTGGTCGTACAGATGTCTGTAAAAGCTAACTTGTGTGTAAGTTATGCAGCACAAGACAAGTGCTGTGATGTCAATTTCAGCTGCTGTCGGAGTTGAAAATAGCCAGCAGCAAGCTTGGAAAGCTTTCTTCTTACTTTTCTTATTGAAGCCTTCTGCTTCTGTTTTTCACTTTTTTTTTTATTTTTCCCAGTCCTATGTGCCCCCTTTGTCCTCCTCCTTTGTTTGAGTTTGTTTTCCTTTCTTTTTCAACCTCCCGGCATTTTCTCCTTCCTCCACTTCTCTTCTCCATTCTCACTTTCTTCCCCTGTCCTTCCTACTGTTCTCCATTTCCCTCCTTAGCATTGTCTTTGTCCAAAAAAATAGAAACTCACTTATCAACTCTCCAAAACAAACACTTTATTGTCAAAGGACTCGTTTCCCTGTGAAGTCCACACTCTGAGAAGAATTTGGATTTTAATTGCTTCCCTATAGATCTGTGTCTCGTTGAAAAACTGGGCTAATTGCATTAGTAGATTAAATGCTGCCAGCTTGTGTTACTGCAGCGAGCATGCTGGAGTGCTGCATGTGTTTTAGTGAATGGAAAAATAATAAAGGTGATAGCCAGGATGTCTGTCTGGTTTGTGTGACATGCTTTTCAAAAAGCTTTTAACGTGTCATTCATGACAGGTTGTCTTCTTTCACACGTCAACGCTGCATGTGCATCACATTGGACAAAGTCGCTTTGACGTGGTTAATGAAAACACTTCCTACCAGGGGCAAAAATCCATTTCATTTTTATTTATTTTTTTTGGGGGGGAGGCAATAAATAGGAACATTTCAGATTTTCCTATTTAAAAAAAAAAAATCCCCTTTCTTTCATGCTCTCTGGTGAGGATTGAACCCTCGGCTTGTTAAATAATGTTTTTAAAAAGTAATAATAGTAGTTATAGCAATGTTCTCTATTTATTAGTCTATGCTCTTCCTGAAAACAGTTTTTTTTTTCCTGTTCAATCAGCAATGTCAGCAATGGTATTATACACCTTTATGGTCACATCTCAGAATTTATTTTTCACCTGCTCTAATTTCCACTATAGTCCATCAAAGTATAGCTTCACAATAAATTGAAGATGAAAGTAAGTTCCAAAATTGTAAAGGAAATACGTTCAAGAGCAATCCAATATCAAACTACTCTAGACAATATAACATGTCTCCCTCCCATCTGTGTTATGTTTGTCACTGAAAAAATAAAGTACAGTATCTGTCAACCAAACTGAAACATTTCCACCTCATAGTGTCTTTATAATACACTCCAAAATAATATAATTATTTTTTATAACACTGACGTTATAAAAAAACAACACTTTTTTATAACACTCAATGCCTGTGTCTGATTCTCTATGTGCACAGTTGACCTGACTTTGCCAAAAGAGTGATATAGAGCATTTTTCTAAGCATTTCATTCCTTTTTCGTTGACATTATCAAAATGCCTTCATAAAACTGTGGTCTTGCCCAAAGAAGCAGAGCAATGTTCACCTTCTTAAACAATCAAAACTGAACAATTTTTGACATCAAAATCAGATATCTGTCAAATTTAATATCTAAGTCATGTGATGTCACCCTAAAAGAAAATAATCAAAACTCTAACCTCAAACTCAAATTTTAAATATTTATATGCATTTCTAGAAACAAATCTCGAAATGTCACTAAAATACGAATTAGGCTTTTATCTGACAGATGTTTTTGAAAAATCTGTCCTCTTTATTTTCCACCCCTCTTTTCTGTCATCTCTTTTTCCTCAGTCCGCAGGTGAACTCTCTTTTTCTGCTCCGTCTTTCTCTCATTTCCCTACTCATCCTCCTCTTTCCACTTCTCTCTTTCTCGTGTTCCTCCCCCTGTCTTTTTGTGTCCTCCCCTGTCCTCTTTCTCTACTGCTATATCACACATTTGAGCTTGCTAAGCATCACAAGCTAGGCTATTAGCTCAAGCAGAAAGTTGATTTAAAAAAAAAAGAAAAGAGGTTGATTTTGGACAAAACAGGAGGAAAGTCATTTTCATGTTACAAGCTTGTACATGTTGAGCATGACTTACACATTGGAGTGGTTTCTTCAGTGAGTGAGGTTGTTGCTGCTCACTGAGAAAGAGCTGCAGACTAGTTGCTGCCATGCAAGGAGAGCAGTGAGAGAGGCCACCTATGGCTGCACTGAAGAAGTTACAAGTTCAGCAGCTGAGATGGAAGAAACTATGGATGCAAGAACAAGTATTGCCCAGGTTTTTCACCAGTCACGGCATGATGGGTGAGAGTCAATGAGAAAGACACTGCTGAAGAAAACCCATGTCAAGTCTCACGGAGACTCCATGGCCAAGTGGAAGAAAGTTCTTTGGTCTGATGAGACTAGGGCTGTTGTAAATGAATATTTTAGTAATCGAGTAATCTATCGATTATTCTTACGATTAATCGAGTAATCAGATAAAAAAAAAAATAAATAAAATGAAATATTGGTAAATCTGGCATAATACCGGTGTTACTATCAGATATCAATATCAGTCCAAT